TATATATATATATAAAGGGTAAATCGTAATCAACAACCATAATATATAATTTTGGAAATTTAAAAAAAATAGTTTAAAAATTATGCACATTAGGAGTCAGAACATGATATTTAAGTAAAAGAAAAGAAAATGTTATCAATATCAGACAAACCACTATTGAGAAAAGTGGAATTAAAAAAAATCAAAGTTAATTCGATTGTCTGATGAAACTTGAAGTTGTTCAGCGTAGTCACCTTTTCCTCCACTCGGCAATTAAATAGGTTTTGATACTTTAACTTAGTCTTTCTCGCGGATAAATCGATAAACTTTGATAAGGGTTTCGTTTCTTCATTGCTTAAAAATTGATTTTTAGACCCATAATGTGCATAATTTATGGATATATTTTTAACAAGGATTTTAAACATATATTTTTAGGGCTGGTTATCAAGAAACGGAAATTTAGAAAATACGGAAATTTAGTTTAAAAACGTTTTACAAATTTGCTAATAAACTATTGTCTTAATGATAAAAACAAATAAATAAGAGCGATAAACAAGCTTCGTGATATAATCAACTTGTGAAGAAGCGTTAGCTTATTTAAAAAAAAATATACATTATTAGAAAAAAGGGTTAAATTAATGGTCTTAGAAAATAAGGTTAAATGACAAATTTTTAATTGTTATTTTACCATTTTCAACCAAAACAGTTAAATAACCGGGAGAAAAAAACTATGGCATTCAAACTGTTAACAGTAAGATAAATAGTTAATTGATTGTTCTCACCTATTACGGTTAAACGACCAGAATTTTATCCGCCTCAGTTAGGTCCACCTTTATGAAACTGCCTAGCTATAGTTGAGCACATGCTATAGTTGATGAGATGATATAGTTGGGGTCATGCTATATGGGGACATGTTCGGTTCATTTGACAATACAAAATTCAACTACAACTTAACTTCAATGTCCAGTTAAATTTCATTTTTCTGACTTTGAAACCACACTAGTTGTAAAAGATTTCAAAACCGTAAAGGTAAAGAAATGTTCCTAATCGTAAACTTTATGGTTAATCGAATGGACATACTGATTCCGGTTATTTTAACGTAATTTTAGAATGAAAATTCCAACAAAGTATCTGATAATGAATCTGACTACATTTATATATTAAATAAAGACGTGTACTAACTACATGTTTTTTAAATTTGATTTAAGAATAGTTTCTTATTAATATAATAACAAATTAAGCTAGTTTTCCCAATTTTTAATTCGAGTTTAAGCTCTGCGTGAAAAGAATATGAAATTTTTTAAAAAAAAACTTGACAATTTTAGCAAACAATTTTAGAATGAAAATTCTAACAAAGTATCTGATAATGAATCTGACTGGATTCATATATTAAATAAAGACGTGTATTAACTACATGTTTTCTAAATTTGATTTAAAAATAGTTTCTTATTAATATAATAACAAATTAAACTAGTTTTCCCAATTTTTAATTCGAGTTTAAGCTCTGCGTGAAAAGAACATGAAATTTTTTTAAAAAAAAACTTGACAATTTTAGCAAACAATTTTAGAATGAAAATTCCAACAAAGTATCTGATAATGAATCTGACTACATTTATATATTAAATAAAGACGTGTACTAACTACATGTTTTTTAAATTTGATTTAAGAATAGTTTCTTATTAATATAATAACAAATTAAGCTAGTTTTCCCAATTTTTAATTCGAGTTTAAGCTCTGCGTGAAAAGAATATGAAATTTTTTAAAAAAAAACTTGACAATTTTAGCAAACAATTTTAGAATGAGAATTCCAACAAAGTATCCGATAATGAATCTGACTGGATTCATATATTAAATAAAGACGTGTACTAACTACATGTTATCTAAATTTGATTAAAAAAAATAGTTTCTTATTATTATAATAACAAATTAAATTAGTTTTCCCAATTTTTAATTCGAGTTTAAGCTCTGCGTAAAAAGAATATGAACATTAAAAAAAACTTGAGATCATAAGATATTTTTAAAACTGTAATATCTCAATCACTAAAGGGAAAAAAAAAACAATTACTTAGTCTCATCTTTTCATGGTTCACAAAATCATAAGTGAACCACGAATAAAAACTGTTAGGCTTAATTTTATTTATAACTGTGCTTAAAAAACTGATTCATATCGGATTTATTGCTATGAATATTCAATTCCGTAGTAATATACTTTTAAATCCAACCCTGAGAGCTATTGCATCAAGCATTCAAACAAACTCGTCACCGTTGAGAACTACATGAGTCTGCCTAATCCGCATTTGTGTTATTTAAGCAGGCAAAACTACTAAATCCTCCCACGATTAGCTCAAAAGTATGGGATTAGCAATCCATAATTCTTTTACCACTAGTGATATTTTATGTTAACACTGTGGTGGGTGCGAAAAAATAGAATAAATAAATAGAATAAATAGAAATAATTAAAAGTTTAATAATTTAAGTCTGATTATGACAAAATTCCTTAAAATTTTAATTAATGAATGTAAAAAGAAAATATTTTTAATTATTGACAACATGCCAAAGTCTACCATTTTTGCAGCAGACATTTCTGAATGTTTAAAATTTATGTGCTCCATCATTTTTATTACCCGGGTTCGCGAGGGCTCGCCACCCGATGAGGTGGTCAGGTTTGAATCTTAGCAATGACTGGTCGATACGAATTCCGCACCCGGCTCGCACTGACAGCAGTGCTGACGTAAAATATCCTCAGTGGTAGACGAATCATGGGTTAGAGTCCTCTTACCACCAGGCTAACCTTGGGTGGTTTTCAAAGTTTTCTTCTTTGTGTTATGCAAAAGCGGGTTAATTCTATCAAAAAGTCCTCCACGAAGGGAAACTTCTCCCAATACTAGATCCAGGAGTTCCCTTGTCTTCTGGATTGGGTTCAAAATTATAAGGTTACGAAGATGAACATTGGTAATCATAAACTTAAAATTGGGTCTACTGTTCAACGGTGGTTATAAAATAAAAAATAAAAAACCACTATGTATAAACCTCGGTGGTTCAGGGAATAGAGCGTTCGCCTCCCACTGAGATGACGTTAGTTCAAAATCCAGCGAAGGTCGATGGATACAAAATCCGCACCCTTCTCGCACCGACCACAGAGCTTAAATAAACTATTCTCAGTGGTAGATGGATCATGGGTTCGAATCACCTTTCCGTAGGGTTAACCATGGGTAGATTTCGTGGTTTTCCTATCCATGCAACTCAAATGCAGGCTAGTTCCATCAAGAAATCATCCACGACGGTTAGTTTATCTCAATGCTTGATCCAGGAGTTCCGTTGTCATTTGGGTTGGGTAAGAAATTATAAGGCTATAGCGTTGTACATTGATAGTAGTTAACTCAAAACTGGGTCTTATGTTCAACGCCGTTTATAAAATTAAGTATAACCACTATGTATTTGAATATATCTATGCAAACGTATCTCTAAAATAAAAATTAAATAAAAAATAATGATAAATCTCTTAAGAAATATGAAATCAAAAAAATACTTAAAACAGCTTTTCTTCCATTTCTAAGGAT